AGCAGGACCTTTAATTTCAGTCACGTGGGCATTGAACAGACATTGCTGTCATGACTGACAGAAGACAAGGCATATAGCTGGTCTGTACAATAGGTTTAGCTCTTCCAGGAGGAGAAAAAGAAACAGAATTTGCTTGAAGAGTCATGAAGCAATGGAATGAAAACGATGCTCTGACATGACCCTGCCGTTATTTCCCCCCTTCTCTACCCCTTAAAAGAAAACACACCTACATAAAAGCTCACCTTTTTTCCTGAAGCCTGAAATATCTTTATTAGAGAGCCTGACCGTCTGTCTGTTCTGAAAATATAAACCTGAAAAGTGAAAAAAGAAAAAAGTTAACCAATAATAACTACACAGCACATAATGGTACAGCACTGGTGCTTTCTAAATAATATCTAAATCATGATCCATCCATGGGTATTGCCAAGATCCAATTTCATGATCACTTTCTTGCTCAGTCTTCTTTTAAAAGACAAAACATACAGTTCCCTCTTTTCTTGATGAATCACAGGCCTCTTATGAGAAATGCTTGAATAGTATCTTGTCGCCTACTTATTTGGCGCACATGTGTGTATGTGCACATGTAGGTATTAGCTTTTGGCACCTAGTAAAGGAACTTTCAAGCTCTCAAACAAGTGACATCTGGAACGGGGTAAAAGGCTGAGAAGGCATAACCCAACTCCCCTTCCCTTATACAGCCTTCTCTTCTCAAGGACACGCGCCTGCACGTACTGCATTGTAAACTTCACGATGCTTTAGCAAAGGTCAGAGTAGAAATCCCAATCGGACCACCCAAGGCATATGCGCCATTTCTGTCTGAAACAATCTGTAAATCAGAAAACTATTAAAACATAGTCCCCTCATTGTTCATTTCCACAGGAAAAACTGTTTTACCAAGAACTCTTGGAGCTAATAGTATTTATGCCAGTTGAGTAACAGATCTTGTACAAAAATTCAAGACACATGCTACTCCTCCAGTGTTTGCCAGGCTCCCTCCTAGCAGGTCCTCACACAGTTTGCAGGACAGAGGATCCCTTAATTCCAAGGCCACGTGGCGGAGCCAAGCACTTGACATAGTTGAATATGTGGAGAGTTATTAATAGGTAGTGAGACAGAGTTCAAAGCTGTTTTCAGCCGAGAACATAGCACAGATTTACTGCAGACAATTGCTCTAGATATAAAGGACTCTGTAGGTTTTGCCGTGGCACGTTTAGCAGCGAGAGCACGTTGCCAGGTGTCACGACTCCAAACCCAGTCTTAACTAATGACACTCTTGGTGACTTTGGAGAAATGACTGAGTCACATTAAGTATCTTGGCTTTACCTTTGGTGAAAAGGGTGTAACAATGCTAACCACTTTCCATCAGGGAAGTGGAAAGGATTAGCTTATTAGAGAGTGTGGAAAGTACAATAGGACCGCTCAGCGTAATGTTCTGTACTCAACACCTCTTACCACATGTTCCTGCTACCCACATCCCACACCAAGGGAGAATAACGGGAGCTTTCACAACTACAGCAGTAGTCTTTAAACTACAGGGCCAGCTGCTTTCTCATGGATCTCATGTTAGCAGCTGGTTTTTTTTCCTCCTTGTACACAGATTAAATCTGTTCCATAGAGAAAACAGGTTGGAAGGAAGGTGCCTTGGATTAGCCATAACAGAGCACCTGGGATAAGGAAACTATGTCTTTCCCATGCACATGTCCTCTCAGTAGCAACTGTGCTGCTACCCTATCCTGCATGTCCTGGTCATCCCAGATCAGGTATACGTATCAAGTTCCTCCTCTACTTTTATTCCATTTTCCCCACTTGCGCTGGTATCCCCTGGGGCATGGTTACTACCAAAAATAATATGCCTAAACCAAGGAATGGTGTTCCTGATAGTGGAGACCTCTCACTCGTTATTGTTATGACTCAGCTACAACTCATGTCCCTGTAGAGCAGGAAAGTCAGAGGGAAGAAGATGGAAGGGCGCTGCAGGACATCTCTGCTTAAGCACATGGTGGCAGTGGTCCCAAAAGGACTGGATTTTGAAGAAAAAGGGACAAAAGTAGATCCTTTACATCCCTTCTTTCCCTCTCCCCACTCCCACTTCTCCACCTTTGGTTCAGAGTCACAGTGCTCATCTTCAACCAGTTCCCCCGATAGCAGCCAAGTACCCGGCACAGGAACACCAGGCACACCTAACTCACCACCCATTTCCATCTAGCCGCACACCTGCTTACATCTTTGGGACACTGAACATATGTATGCCTACAGGAAAACCATTTTTTTTTGTTTTTCTTCTCAAGAGACTATCACCAAGGTTTCTAAGCACAGCTGGCAGAAACCCAGATTCTAATCCACTAAACATCACATATTATGAGGTTTTAAGAGGGACATCAAATCACCTAGTAAATGGCTTTTCATGCTATTAGAGATGCTACCCTGAAGCAAACACCAAAACAGTCAAATATATGAAGAAAACACATTTTTTCATTTCCAGGCAAGGTTTAAGTGATACCTATATGTTACAAATCCTAAACAAAAGCAGTGTGAAAGAAATGTTGACTGTGTCTCCTTAAAATAACTATTGTAAGGATTGGGTGGGAGAGAGAGGAAAGAGAGGGGTGAGGGATGTGAGGCACCAGAAGGGGCAGGTCATGAAAATTTGATGACTTCATCAAACAACCTCACTTCTCCCCTGCTCAGTGCTCCAAAACTATCCTGTAGGCAAAAATCTCTTGGCTTCTCGGACACATGGGAACCCATCAGTATTAGTCTTTTGGCCTGTTGCATGCGACCACATTATTGTTTGACAAAAAGCCACACCTTTCCAATGCCTCCGTCCTGGGGAGCTCCTCCTACAACATCCGTGGTAGTCGGCTGAGAGAAATGACCTGCCGTCACCGCATATCCTGAGCAGCAGATGGGGTGGGGTGGGAGAGAAAAGAGGAAATAAATAAATAAATAATCACAAAAGGGAAGAGCATGAGAAACAGGTCAGCTGGTTGGATCATGCTCATGGGGTTTAACTGCTCCTCCTGGATTATGCATTGTTAGCGTTCAACAACCATTCTGCTCAGGATGTGCCAATATTCCGCACAAAAGCTCACAGCATTGGGAAGTGACAGTACGCCCTCCAGTACAGCTGAGAGAAGAAAGGTGTGTGTGGAGCTGGAGGAGGGACACACAAAGCAGGTACAGGGAGCAGTTTGGTAACAGCAAGTCCAGAAAGGGAAGCAATAAAACATGAACTGGCACGCACAATTAGAGCACAGAGACTACATTGTCGCAGAGAAAGTATCACATCAGAGAGTGACAGTCGTACATTGACCCAGCAGAAGTGTCCTCTTTTGGCTAAAATCACTGCCCAGGAAGGCTTGGAAAATTACGTGCCTTTTTGGTTGGGGGGGGGGGGGGGGGGGAGGACAGTAGGCAAAGAGGTCAGAGAAGTTAATGGCTTAAAAAGAGTTTTGTTTAGGCAAGAAGAAAAATGGGAGGATAGATCAAAGAAAGGAGGAGTGTATTTGAAAGAAAGATCAAAGATTCAGTCTTATTTGATATACTAAAATGATATATAATAACTAAAGAAGAGTAGAGTGCTTTCCTTCTAAGGCTGTCTTGTACTTGCTTTGCTCTTCTGCTGTAAATTATGAGGCTCTTGTCTACATCATAAACACTATAAATCAGGCCTATCAGTGGCAAATCCTATTTATGTCCTTAAATATGTATATATATACTCCTCATTTAGCTATCACCAAGCAGCATCTTCCAAGCAGTATTTTTTTTAAAGACTAAAGGTTAAGGGGAAAAAGAGAGGTCAATGCAAGTCTTTAGTCACTACCGACTGAAGTGACTTCTAGGTTTCAGCAGTCTCAGGCATTGGGGATTAGGTGGAGACCTCTAAATTAAGTTTATTTGGTACATTACCTGGTTTTAGAACAAGTAAAACCAACTGAGTTAAACGTACTCAAACCTATAGTAGATCCTTTCACAACCTCCTTCTGTTGCCAATGACTCACTTACATGATGCTATTTTTGTTGAAATAACCTTGTATCTGCAATATACATTCTACAATTATTTGTTGTACCCATTTTAAAGACAGGTGTAAGCAGACACACAGCCTAACCAATGACAAATAATCTTTCTGTCACAGGGCAAAAGCAGGAAAGGAATGTAGGAGGCCCACTGCCATCCAACCTGCTTTTCAGTCAAAATGCATTTTCTATATTAGTCAAAAAAATTATAGCGAAGTTTTAAAAAAAACAAGCAAACAAAAAATTGAATATTCTGTCTGCTTCTTTGCTTATGTTTCTTTCCAGGTAGGTAACCCTTTAATTCAGATATTCTTCCTTTCACATAAAAATACTCTACACCGCTAAGAAAAAAATCAGTATCAGCTTTATAGCATCAAAGCCTTGAAATACGTTGTTGGACTAATCTGTTCTCACAGTGAGCACCAGAGAGCTGCTTACCAAGGTACGTGTACCGCCTGGCTATCACAGCATCGTCATTCAGCTTGTAGTATGTGTTGTCAGTGAGATTCAGTACTTTGACAGTTCCTGTCCAATAATAAGATCCCGGTGCCCCCATGATGACCAGCTCCTATAACAGGAAAAACAGAAGGGTGTGGGGGAAAGGATGGGGAAAAAAATAAATAACAATCAAAACTAGACAAAAATTCACGCTTTACGTAGTAATGGAGAAGGGATGGGATATTAACTTAAAACACCAATTATCAGCCCATCTATAAGAATCTCCATTCTGTGTGCATGTAGAGGATATCTTTCTTCCCAAACATGGAGGTCACTGCACACACCCTAGAGACACACAGTCTTCCCTTTTATGGCCTGTTTCTGCTCAGCTGTTCTGCTGCTGCAATAAGACCTTCCTCAGCCTTACTAACCATCAAACTTACCCCTGCTAACACAGTCCTACCAAAAATCTCTCTCCACCTGCTGCCTTTCCTAAACATCTTTCAGAAGACCTGACAACCTCCACCAAGTGACAAAAGTGCCCCAGCTCACCCAGACCCGCTATTCAGCTACAGGCTGTGCCTCAATGCTGGCTGACACGCTATACCAACTGATCGTGACAGATACAGCACAAAAGATTTTGATTTTACAGATATGAAGCCAAAGAGCTTCCATGCACTCAGCAAGCAGGGTGTGAGTATTGTCATGGTTGGAACATTTTGCCTTGCTCTGTCCTCAGATACACTCTGCTCTTCAAGAGACAACCTGGCTATAGTTCATCACAGACACGCAGCATGACTCAGGATTTTAAAAGACTAGAAATCAGGCAAAGTTTGACCCAGCATCCAAAGGTACGGATATTGCTTTCGAATCAAAACCGAAGGTACATTTGCAGGCAAGACAGATTGCAAAAAGGTTGCCCCAAAGCATCCAGCATCCTTGCCAGGAAACCTTACTCCTGGATGTGGTTTTAAATACCTCCAACAAGGGACCAAATTAAGCCTGGGAAGTATTAAGCCTAGGTAAGTTCTCCATCCCTGGAGGAGACAGGAGGACAGCTGCTTTGCCTCACATCTCCATTCAGTGCAAGGCCATGGGTAAACTCCATCCTTATGGGAAAACACTTCCTCACCTGGGACCCCTTTGGGTGACCAGTTCCAGTCAGGGGGAGATGTTAAACAAGGGATTTTCCTAATAAGACTACAGGGTCAGGACGGCAAACCCAACCAAAGAGCAGGACGTGCTTGGCAACAGCTTTTTTCCTTGGGAGGGGCCGTGCCCTTGAGGTCAAGGGATCATTTACCGGCAGGAATGACTACCATCAGCAGCGCTGAATATACGGTAGGGGCTTGCCTGTTTGACCCAAAAAGCCATTTATCTGCATTTCCTGCTCAGAGAGCTGCCATTGGGCTGAAGCAATGAAAGTTCAAAGATATCTTTTGAACTAGGATAGCAAAGGAGGATTTAAAGCATGGGAACAGAAACAGGCTCGAGAGAGCAGACAAGCCAGGAAACAGCTGCTGCTGGCTGAACACCCAGTTATCAGACAGTGCCACTGTGGCAACATTACCTGCCACCTCAGTTTACTCGGAAATCACCTTCTGCCATTTCAGAGGATGCTTTTATTCTGCTTATATCAGCCTGGACAATAAATTCTGTAGACCAGTGCATATGTAATTAGGAACAAGTATATACCTGACACGACAGTACCAAGGAGCCTGATACTGAAATAGCTTTTTTTTTTCCTTATAAAAAATAAAAACAAACAACAACAAAAAAACCTAAAACCAAAACCAAACACCACCACCACCCCCCCAAAAAAAAAAAAACAAAACCAAACTTAACTGTGAAACTTTACAAAAAAACATTAATATATACATAATGGAACAAATTCATCCTTGACATAACCAAAACGTGGCTGACAGACTTCTGTCCAGACTTCTGTTTAGAACAGCTTTGGAGCATATATTTTACCATGCTATTTTTCCTCCATCTTTTTGAAATAAAGAACTGAAGCAGAACTAAAAAAAAAAAGTGTTTATCTTATATATGTATACGTATGTGCATGTGTACTTATATATTCACGTAGATGCATATATCGACATGTACGCACACATAAACAAAGTCATCCAGGGAGGACTGTTTTATAACATCACTTAAATTAAACAGCTAACGTTAGACACAGAGATATCTCTATGGAAGTTTTGGGATGTACATGATAAAAACATTCCCTAAGGACGTTTCTCAGAATCAATTCATTCATTCTTGTCCACAGATCTTGCACATACACCTACCTACAAACCACCCGGCAGGCATTGTGCAAGATGCAGGCTCCCGGGAGGCTGGACAAGGCAGGAGGCTGTTTGCTGGCAGGGAGGGACCATGCTCAGTACTAAGCCCCCTTTTAAAGCCATGCTCAGGGCTCCCCTCCCGGGTCATGCGGCAGGAGAGCCCCTCACCAACCCCATCCTTTCCATGCACATGCCCCTGCTCACCTCGGTGAAGAACCCTGCAATTCCCGCCTGGCACGAGCCGTGCTCCTCCCCATACTTCTTCTTGTACTCTGGATGGGAGAAGGGAAGAAAACAAACCGTTGTCATCCCTGGCACGGCACACACTCTCCACCCGAGCCATCTGCATCGCTACACGCACAGCATGGAGAGACACCAGCACACAGGGCTCCTGGGTTTTATCAATGGACCTGTCACCAGTGCACCATGGCAGCATCCTTGCCCACATCGAGGGGTAAAGTGAGAGGCCTAAAATGGGGAACAAAACCCGCCTGGACGCTGTCCTGTATAACGTGCTGTAGGTGACCCTGCTCTGGCAGGAGGGGTGGACTAGATGATCTCCAGAGGTCCCTTCCAACCCTAACAATTCTGTGAATTCTGTGAATTCTGTGGCTGACAGACTTCTGTCCAGAATTCTGTTTAGAACAGCTTTGGAGCATGTATTTTACCATGCTATTTTTCCTCTATCTTTTTGAAATAAAGAACTGAAGCAGCTGACAGACTTCTGTCCAGACTTCTGTTTAGAACAGCTTTGGAGCATATATTTTACCATGCTATTTTTCCTCCATCTTTTTGAAATAAAGAACTGAAGCAGAACTAAAAAAAAAAGTGTTTATCTCATATATGTATATGTATGTGCATGTGTACTTATATATTCACGTAGATGCATATATCGACATGTACGCACACATAAACAAAGTCATCCAGGGAGGACTGTTTTATATCATCACTTAAATTAAACAGCTAAACGTTAGACACAGAGATATCTCTATGGAAGTTTTGGGATGTACATGATAAAAGCATTCCCTAAGGATGTTTCTCAGAATCAATTCATTCATTCTTGTCCACAGATCTTGCACATACACCTACCTACAAACCACCCGGCAGGCATTGTGCAAGATGCAGGCTCCCGGGAGGCTGGACAAGGCAGGAGGCTGTTTGCTGGCAGGGAGGGACCATGCTCAGTACTAAGCCCCCTTTTAAAGCCATGCTCAGGGCTCCCCTCCCGGGTCATGCGGCGGGAGAGCCCCTCACCAACCCCATCCTTTCCATGCACATGCCCCTGCTCACCTCGGTGAAGAACCCTGCAATTCCCGCCTGGCACGAGCCGTGCTCCTCCCCATACTTCTTCTTGTACTCTGGATGGGAGAAGGGAAGAAAACAAACCGTTGTCATCCCTGGCACGGCACACACTCTCCACCCGAGCCATCTGCATCGCTACACGCACAGCATGGAGAGACACCAGCACACAGGGTTCCTGGGTTTTATCAATGGACCTGTCACCAGTGCACCATGGCAGCATCCTTGCCCACATCGAGGGGTAAAGTGAGAGGCCTAAAATGGGGAACAGCTGGTGTGCTGCCTAGTGAGACGCTAAATGAGCAGTATCACAGTAACATGATAA